AATCTAAATAGCATGAAGGGACCTCAGGTGCTTCTGACTCCATAAGAGGAGGTGGCGTGCGAGTTGCGACATACGGCGAGAGCGTAGACCACCCTGATGGTTGATGTACGCTACTGTCGCGGTATTGTCCGGACGGACAAGTACGTGTTGTCCCTGGAGCAGCGCGTGGAAGCGGTGCAGGGCAAGGCGTACTGCCAGCAACTCGAGGCAATTGACATGCATGAGGCGCTGGGGTCCTGTCCAGGAGCCCGCGGCTGCATGTCCATTGCACATGGCGCCCCAGCCCGTGGCAGAGGCATCTGTGGAGACAACAACATGCCTGGAAACTCGTTCTAGGGGAACTCCGGCCCGTAGAAAGCTGAGGTTCCGCCACGGGGTGAAGGACTGACGGCAGGTCGGAGTTATTGGAACTCTGAGTGTACCGCGATGCCATGCCCACCTCGGGACCCGATCGCGAAGCCACAGCTGAAGCGGTCTCATATGAAGCAATCCGAGTGGCGTTGCCGCGGCTGCGGATGCCATATGCCCCAGGAGCCTCTGAAAAAGTTTCAGTGGGACCGCACTCTTGCCCTCGAACTGTCGCAGACAAGTCAGCAGTGAGTGTGCACGCTCGCTCGCTCGTAAGCTGCGCGGACATGGCGACCGAGTCTATCTCCATACCGAGAAAAGAGATCCTCTGCACGGGGCAAACTTTGCTCTTCTCCCAGTTGACCCGAAGGCCCAGACGGGCTAGGTGCCGGAGCACTAGGTCTCTGTGTTCACAAACCTGGACTTGAGAGTGAGCTAATATTAGCCAGTCGTCGAGGTAATTCAGGATGCGAACCCCGTGTTCGCGCAGGGGAACAAGGGCTGCCTCGACGACCTTCGTAAAGATGCGAGGAGACAGAGCCAACCCGAATGGGAGAACTGCGTACTGGTATGCCTGCCCCTCGAAAGCAAACCGAAGAAACGGTCTGTGTCGAGGTAAAATGGAGACATGAAAGTAGGCGTCCTTCAGGTCTATCGCTGCAAACCAATCCTGTGGCCGCACGCATTCGAAAATGCGTCTGGTCGTGAGCATCCTGAACGGCAGCCTGTGAAGGGAGCGGCTCAAGACGCGCAGATCCAGGATTGGCCGTAACCCACCGGTCTTCTTGGGGACAATGAAGTACGGGCTGTAAAACCCTGACCTCATTTCGACTGGAGGGACAGTCTCGATTGCACCCTTCGCCAGCAGGGTGGCAACCTCCGCTCTCATGATCGGGGCATTGCCACCGACCAAAGTAAACGGACTCCCCTGAAGCGGGGAGGAGACCGTGCGAATTGGATCGCATAGCCGAGCCTGATAGTTCGGGCGACCCAGCGGGACAGGTAGGGAAGCTCTAACCAAGCTCCCAAGAACTGAACCAGCGGAAACATCCGAACGACAGACGTCCCCCCGGAGGGGCAGCGAAGCGGAGTGACCGGCCCAGGCGTGGGTGGCATAGTGGCCCGGTGCGGGGGCACGGTCATGCTCCGCGTCCTGACAGAGGAGACCAGGGAAGGACCAGCATTCCACGGGGGTCTGCTCTGCCAGGGGTCTGGCGACAGAGGGGGACGAGAGTGGTGTGGTCCGGAGACGGCACACACTGTCATCCGCACCCTCAGAGACAAAGGGGGACGAGAGCAGCAAGGCCCGGGAGCGCCACGCACTGTCGTCCGGCCCTCTGAGGGCTCAGAGATGGGATGCAGCTCTTTGGTTTAGAAAAGATTCTCCCCCAGCCCTCCACCGGGGGAAGGAGTGGCCCTGCAACCACTCCCTGAAGAACTGCAACCCACATCTGAGCTGCCCGTAACGGGAGCGCCGCAAGCCTGGCCTTGGCGGGGCTGCGGGACCGGTACAGGCAGGGGCGCCTTCCTGCGACCACCTCCACGGCGCGGCCCGGTGCTGCTGGGGGCCGGGCGGGAGGGGGCGGAAATCGCAGGAGGGCGCATTCGGCAGCAAGCGGACTGAGGCGTCTGAGCCGGCAGCTGGAGGCAGCAAAGCCGCGGGGTCAGACAAAATAGCCACAGTCCACTTCTGGGCGGCCGAGAACTGTTGGGCAGAGTCCTCGACCGCGCCGCCGAAGAGGCCAGCCTGGGATATGGGGGAGTTGAGGAAACGAAATCACTCAGCCTCGCGCACATCAACCAGGTTAGCCAGAGGTGTCTGACCACCTATGTGGACATCACCTGACTCAGGGAGCGTGCGGTCACCTACGTCGCTCGGAGAGCAAGGTCGGTGACGGCAGGCAGCTCAAGGATGAGCCCTGAATCAGCCCTACCCTCGTGCATGTCATTGAACACCCAGGAGGATGGCAATAACACGCAGTGAGGTGGCAGCCTGCCCCGCAGCTCTATAGGTCCCCGCCACTGGAGTAGACAAGAACCTACAGGCATTGGAGGGGTGCTTAAGAGTCGCCACGCCAGGTGGAGGCGCTGTGGGGATACATAAGTGTTGCCACAGAACACTCCACAGGGGGAACCCCAGTGCACCCTAGGCCGCGGCCTCTACAAGGGCAGAGAAGGCGGAAGAGGCCACTGAGCAGTCGCGAAAAGTCAAGGAGACTTCCACGATCTCATGATCTCTTCATGCACGTCCGGGTAGAATGGATTTGGGTTCGCCACCCCCAAAAACCAATCAACAGCCTTAAGTGCTCGGGACATGGCAGAAGGTTCCACACAAGCCCGATACTCGCGGCAGCCCGGGAAGCATAGCTGTGCACTCTGGATCAAACTCGTTATGCTAGCACATCCGAGGATGGCAGCACAGACGAGCCATCATCTCTAGAGGACTCCAGCTCACCTTGTGATGCGGTGATACATGATTTCATCAGCCGGGGGACCGAATGAGACCGCAGGCCCGCGGGCGGGCCGGCGAACTCACCTGGGACCACGCAGGTTGCAATGTGAAAGACGGGGTGTGGACCGAGGAATTTTTCGTCGGTTTAGTTCCAAACCTGCCGTCTTAGGTCACCCTGGCCACCAGCCGAAGTATTATATCACGTGGAGAAAAATAGATCGGGGTGTGGATGAGGGGACTCTCACTCATTGAGCTCATCGAGTCTCGACCGTTACATTGCGATGGTCACGTTCCCAGTGAGAGAACGTGACACACCCACGAGCGCTGTCTGAGCGCGATCAAAGCCCAAACACTCAAAACAGCGCTCGCGCCCATCAGCTGAATCTATCAGAACACCACACTCAGAAAAACACGGGCAGATCGTCTTTAGAAAGACGCGTCTTTAAAAAGACGTGCCGCGTGCAGCTCTTTAGTGAGAGGAAAAACTCCGCGGATGTTGAAGCGACCAGGGAGAACACACAGACTGGCAGACCACTGCTCAGCTCGCAGGCAATGTGAAACTCGCTGGATACCGCCGTCACACCAACACCGGAGAGTTCACTCGTCTCGAAGAGATGTAGTCACTGAGAAAACTCAGGATTTGGCTTGTGGAGTGAAGAGATGCTCTTGGCTCCGAAGCGAAAACATGATCTGCTGTTGCAGGTGTCTCTCCTTAAATACCCACGCGGTGGGGCGGAGATACATTATGCAAATTCCGCAGACCCATGGCATTTCATTGCCATAGGCTCGTTTTTTAATACTCGAAGATGATAGGCTTTCTGGCGAAACCCCCATTCTCCGTCATCCGACGTAACTCGGAGTGACTACGAAAGGGAACGTCTCGGTTACGGATGTAACCCTCGTTCCCTGAGTAGGGAACGGAGACGTTACGTCTCCCTGCCACTTCCGCTGTACCGCTGGGTAGACGCCTGAGTTCAGTCTCGGCTCCTCAGCGAAGACATGATCTGCTGTTGCAGGTGTCTCTCCTTAAATACCCACGCGGTGGGGCGGAGATACATTATGCAAATTCCGCAGACCCATGGCATTTCATTGCCATAGGCTCGTTTTTTAATACTCGAAGATGATAGGCTTTCTGGCGAAACCCCCATTCTCCGTCATCCGACGTAACTCGGAGTGACTACGAAAGGGAACGTAACGCATTACTTTTCTAAGTAACGCAATGAGTTACTTTTTAAGGGAGTAACACAATATTGTAATGCATTTCTTTTCAAAGTAACTTTCCCCAACACTGGCATTAAGTAAACATGTATAAAATTAAAATTGTGTGCTCTACTATGCTGTAAACAATAACATACTGTAGTCATATAATTTTTTTTTAAATGTCTTACGTCTAAAGTTTTGATAACTCATAACTCATCTACAAGTTGGGATCACATAGTGCATCTGCATAGTGTTCACCATATGCCTGAAGCCAGGGTTTTCAACCACACTATATGGCCACAAATGCACCACCAACTCCATTATCTTCTTTGCAACAGCTGAGGAAACCAGTGTAGTTTGCCTTCGATCAACAGGTTTTGGCTGAGGTTGCAGTGCCGCATTTTCATCTGCATGTTGTCTTAAAGGAACACTCCGACTTTTTGGGACTTCAGCCTATTCACCTTATCCCCCAGAGTTAGATAAGTCCATACATACCTTTTTCATCTCTGTGCGTGCTATAAGTCTGTTTGACGCACCCACCGCTAGCCTAGCTTAGCACAAAGACTGGATGTAAATGGTTGCAGCTAGCATACTAATCCAAATAAGTGACAAAATAACGCAAACATTTTCCTATTTACATGTTGTGATTTGTATAGTCACAGAGTGTACAAAAAACAAAGTCACATGAGACACAGACATATTTTAACCGTATAAATACTGGGAACTTTATTCTCTGAAGGCAAAGCACTGCTACTTGGGCGGAGTGATAACCGCAGCACCTGAGACGCGCTCTGTGACTATACAAATCACAACATGTAAATAGGAAAATGTTCCACTGTGTTTTGATGTGGTTAATAGATAAATATGAAAAATGTTTTTTTGAGTGAAACATAAAGAGAAATTTTGTATAAATTAATACTATAAATGATACTCTCACAACTGTTGAGTGTTTTTTTGTTTTGTTTTTGTAGACGATGAGGCTTTTTTTATCCATTTGTAGGTTGTCTGGCTGTATGGTGACAGAGGAAGGCTGTGGTTTTGTGTCTTCAGCTCTGAGTTCAAACCCCTCACACCTGAGAGAGCTGGATCTGAGCTATAATCACCCAGGAGATTCAGGAGTCAAGCTGCTCTATGACAAACTGAAGGATCCAAACTGCTCACTGCAGAAACTCAAGTGTGTCAAACACTGATACTGACATATTAAATGTGTGTGTGCATGATGCATGTCTACATTAATGTGTGTTTGCTCTTTATAGTGTGGATCATGGAGGAGAGATCAGGATCACAGCAGGACCACAAAAGTGTAGGTCTACAAACACACACACACACACACACGCACACACACACACACACACACACACTCATCTAGTGACTTTTATTTGTTATAGATCAGTGTTTCTCAACCCTTAAGGCCCCCTTCTCCAAATCAATACTGCAAGACCTTTTCAACCATAAAAAGATGCTTGACATTTCCTATACTTCTGCAGCAAAGAGAAAGGTGGTTTTTTAAACCCTTTTATTAACAAAAACTTTTCTTTGATGGTGTTATAACACTTCTACTAAAAAACATTCCATTAAATGTTTTTTAATGAAATAAATGTATGATCAATTTAAACTTTCAGTATTATTTTTGCAAACGTACTTGGCAAATTAAAGCTCTACTTTAAAACTTCTTAAAATAACTCACTCTTTACCTTCTTTAGATCTTAAATGTACTTACTCTTAAATAAGCTCAAGTTAACCTGCCATGCCAAACAGGACCACAGGGAGAAACCAAAAGACCCTCAACCCGCCGCTCTGAATGTGTCTAAAATGATCGTCTGAAGGCGGGTTGAAACAGTTACCCTGTCAGAACAAATGTTCATGTCTGTATATACATAAACACCATTGACCCTCACAAACTCCACTAAAACTTTACAAGCGGTTAGCTTTATCCAACTGAAAGATGTTCCCGGTTCATTTAGTTAATTTTAAATTTAATGCATTAACCCTCTGGGGTCCAAGGTGTTTTTGGGGTCCTTGAGATGTTTTGACATACTCTGACATTTGTGCTTTTTTCAGTTGCTTATAAACATATTACTGGCAAAGGTGTAATTACACTCTATTTAGCACAAACAGGGCTACCATAATGTGTTATCAACATGTTTGTACATTTTTGTATTTTTGAGAGAATATTGTTTATGCGTGGTTATTGAAAAAACTAAAACTTAAAGTTTCTGAAATAAGGCCACAAAACACATACTAAATATGTGTCCACAAGACTTTTGACTAATGGATGTTGTCGCCTAGAGTTTTTTCTTCAAAATGATCTGAAAATCATCCTGCCTTATCATTCACATAAAACAATAGATTGGTTTAAATTTAAAAATGACACTTTTTGTTTGGAAAGGCAATATGCGCAGGGGTGTGACCTGCTGTGATTCACACCTGAGAAGACAATGGGCCCGCATAATGAGCGCATAATGGGGCAGCATACTAATGACGCTTTCATTCAGGTGTGTCACTGAGCCACAAGAATGCAATGACAATATATATATATATATATATATATATATATATATATATATATATATATATATATATATATATATATATATATGCCTATATAATACAAAATTGGTTCACAGTTCCAATTATTTATTTATTTTTCAAATTGTGCTTGCAAATTGTATAATATCAAATGTAAAAATTTCTAGTAATTGTGCAGTTAATTATCATACTGTTTTTACAGAAAGTTTGGGAATGTATCTCAAATGTGTCACTAATAAAACACAATACAAATAATTTAAAGAGGAGGCTTATATTGAGCTTTTAAGATTTACCTAAGATTTATTTATATGTAGCCTACATATATTTTTGCTATTTTAATAAAAAGGTTACAATTACAACAACAATTAAAATTTTAACTATATTTCAAATGTAATCTTTCTTTGTATATACTAAAGTATACATTTTATCATACATATTTCACAGTTGCGGATTAATTAGTTTGAATATAGCCTACAATCGAACAAACACTATAATAACATCTTAGCAAACAAGCTTATTTGATGTGGCAGTATTTTACAGTAAAAACGACATCTTGTCTTTCATATGTAACATCGTTTTTATGATTAGGACATATAAATGTTAATTTGCAGTTTAATACGTTGCTTATACAAAAATATTTTATTTCAACATATTTCAGTCGATTTTTACTCATCTCAGTATTGGAATATAGTTAGGTAAAAGCTGTTCATTCATTCACACACAAAAACGCGATTCAAACAGTCTTTTTGTTTACAGACACTATTCCATTTCGCGATTAGAACAAAGCACTTGAAAATAAAGAATGTACCTATTCCTCGGCTGGATCCGTTGCTCCTCCAAATGAAACTACCTGTACGTCTGAGGTAATTTTTTCCAGGATAATTATTAAGATAGTACTATTATTCCTCACAGCGTCGTAAATCTGAGTCTCTTTCGGTGGGTTATCCAGCTGATGTGGGCGTGGATCGCCTCAGAGCGTTTGTGTTTGAATAGAGCGCACGCTCCGTGGGCGTGGTCAAATTAACTTTAATGAGCTGAGACGAGAACGACTATCATCTCTCTCTTTTCGTACAGATTACATAAAATGAGAAAATTTGTTTTTTATATAAATTACTTCATTTAAAAGAAGATAATTCAGGCTTCATGCCTGTGTGCCTGTATAACTGTTTGACTGAGTATTTGCAGAGTTACAGTTCATTTTTCGGACGCGTTTCAGAATGGACTTCACTGACAGAGAGAACGCAGAACGCGCATCATGTTTATTTTTCTTTATTAGGCGAAAAGCACAACACTTTGTTTTTATTATGAGGTTCCACAAAAAAAATACAAACTTAACAGGATCGAATGATGTACAACACTTTTATGTAAGATCAAAATCAACAGAGTAATTTGAGTCTCTTTTGCACTGATAAGGAAAAAAGTGAGCTGGTATCGCCGGCGAGACCGCCGACCCCAGAGGGTTAATAATAAAATGAATTATTGGAATATATTTTAATTACTTTTAAGTAATTTCACGGCCCCCCGGTTGAGAACTACTGTTATAGATGTTTCTCTCTTCATGTGTTCAGATGCCTGTGATCTCACACTGGATCCAAACACAGCTCACACTCGTCTCCTTCTGTCTGAGGAGAACAGGAAGGTGAAGCTTGTGGAAGAGGATCAGTCGTATCCTGATCATCCAGAGAGATTTGATGAGTATCTTCAGGTTCTGTGTGGAAAGAGTCTGACTGGACGCTGTTACTGGGAGGCTGAATGGATTGGACTTGCTGAAATATCAGTGACATATAAAGGAATTAGCAGGAAAGGACGGAGTGATGACTGTGTGTTTGGATTCAATGACAAATCCTGGAGTTTGTTCTGCTATAATGACAGATTCTCTGTCCGTCACAATAATAACTCCACTGTTATATCTGTCGTCCGTTCATCTAATAGAGTAGGAGTGTATGTGGACTTTTCGGCCGGCACTCTGTCTTTCTACAGCGTCTCTGACACACACACACTCACACACCTACACACACTCAACACTACATTCACTGAACCCCTCTATGCTGGATTTAGGCTTTATTCTGATTCCTCAGTGTCTCTGTGTCAGATTAAACAAGACACACATCCACACACACTTGTAAATCTTCTTTCTAACTTCCACATGCACACAGTGTAGGGGTGTCGCAATATACCGGTGTTGACGATAATCGTGATATTCAAAGCATGAAATATTGACATCATGTTAATTTAGAGTGTGGCAATATACCGGTATTGACGATAACCACGATGTTTAAAATGAATAGGACTGTTATGATAACATGACACGTAAATACTCCAGCGCGAGTACATGGTTGACCTCTCAGGTGGCTGTATTGCACCCGCTGACACCTATCAAAGAAGAAGACGCAGCCCCCAGCAACGGCTCTTGTTCAAAATCCTGCAACGACACAAAGCGCCATTTACATAGTTCTATATTAAATTTACATTATATATGTCTCAAATCATCGTAAATGACTTCACCCTGTGCTGCAAAATACATTTAGTTTTACATTAATTTACAGGAATCAGCTGCTTGAATGAAAATTGCTGATATTCTCAATTCATTCAGTTAATGGATGCTCTGAGGTAAAGTGTTCAGATCACAGACTCAGCAACTATTGTATCCAATTGTACAGTACAATAACATAGTACAGACATTATCTTAATTTCATAATCTCCTCAAACATAAGAATACTGCTGGCCATAAAGTGAGAAAGTGCGCGTCCGGTGTGCGATACCTCGACTTGTCCTACACGCGACGCTGCAGAATGTGTGTCCATCACCCTGCAGAGTACACCATTTTACAGAGAATACATTGCGATTATTTTACTAGTCATGGAATGGGAAATGTGGCATTAACCTGTTAACATGGGGTTTTTGTGTTCATACATTTAATAAAGGGTGATTATTAAGAACCCCGTTTTCTTTACTAATTTTTTGTAGCCTATTTGTATTTGCACTTGATTTTTTTTTTATTCAAATCTGCTATCTGCATGCCTTTATTGGCGCCAATAGGTTTAAGAGCTTTTCAGTTCTTCAGAAAACATTCAGACAGTTTTTCGCTTCAGTTTGAAACCATATACCCCCCCCCCCCCCCACACACACCCCTCCCTTATAGATGCTATAGATAACTCAATATATCGATATCGTGAATTCTCTTGGCCACAATAAGCATAGTGTGAAAAATCTAACATCGTGACAGCCCTAGTGTCATCAAATCTCACATAATTACATTTGTATTAATTCCTTTTTAATAAAAATTTTTCATGTAAATTTAGAAATAGTTATAAATTTAGATTGGAAACGCATAATCTTCTGAATCTTTAGTAAGGTTGTAATTAGAGGTTGACCGGTATGGGTTTTTCTCTGGCTGATGCCGATATTTAGAAATCAGGGCAGCCGATGGCAGAAATATGATGCCGATTTTCTTTTTTCCTACCTTCTTCTCATAAAATCTAACAGTTAAAGTTATAAGAAGTGATACAGAAAGGCTACATGTTCTCATATCCATTTATTTAGTTCTAATGTCACAAGTAATAATGTCAAGGTTTACTGCTTTACATCATTCTTTTGTAGTGTGGTTTTGGTGAAGTGTTTATGTGTGTACCTTACTACTTCTCACCGCTGGTTACTGATGGTTTAGAACAATTATTTCAAGTGGCCCCCTGTCATTTCAAAGAATTGTACAACGGCGAGCACACCAAATATAAATGCCTCGTCTGTTTGGGGAGGTGCGCACACAGGCAAAAGTATAAACAAGGCTTTAAGAGTGCATTGTCCACGAGCAATGACATCGTGGAGGCTTTGTCGGACCCACAGACACATTTAATAAGGAAAGTTAACATGCATCTTTTAGCCAGAAGTTTTGTCTGAATTGCATGTTTCAGCTTTCACATGCAAATAACTTGTTGCACTTATGATAAGCATGGTCGGCATCAATTCTAGTTGACTAAAACTAAATTACGCTTTCAAAACGGTCTGTTTTCCCCTGCTATCATTAGCTGAAGCTGTGTGTAAACAAAGAAATGGCTGCCAAGTGTGAGTTGCTCCGTCTCACACGCAGCCTCAGAGGGAGAAAAATAATGCGGTACAGAAACCAATAAGAATTAATAACGTCAGAGGCTAAGAGTTTATCTATACAACGCAGGCTATTAACATTATAATAATTTAGCCGCTGGGCTCATTGTCATGTTTTGGTACCCGTGCCTACCTGTAGCCTAAACTACGACTGGTTTAAGGCTCTTTGAAGGCAGAGGGAGACATCACAGGGTTATGCCGGTGGAATGGCAATCTGCTTGACGCAAGAGGCAGCGTCACGTATTCCACAACAACGCTTAGCTGCTCGCAGATGCGCCTGGCTATTAATCGGCCTAATTTGCAGCACAATCTGCCGATGCCAGTTAATTAAAAAAAAAAAAATCGGTCAAAAAAATCGGTCTAGTTTTTTGTATATGTATATTTTGTATATTTTTGTAAATAATGTATATTTTAGAAGATTGCTTTAATATGTATATTGTAAACTAGTCTTCAAATTGAATTAAAGTACATTTGTGATTGATTTAATCATAAAGCAGTTTATGAATGATTGATGTGAACTGATGACTGTATGAATAAACATGAATGTAATGAGAGATCCGCAGAATGAAACAGTGGCTGAATCACGTCTCCTGATAGAGTGCTTTATTTTTCCACATGCTGTCTGCGCTGATTTACTAAATTAATTCTGCAGATCAGGTGATGGTTCAAACACTCACAATATCGCTGCTGAACACAATTGATCACGGTGAAATTCCATAATGAGCCTTTAATATACATAGGCCTGATAAATAGCCTATTCCACACTCAAGTGCATGCATAAAGCTTGTAAAAGTAATGATTATGAATATGTTGGAAAAAATAGCAAGGAGACATTTTAATTATTTATGAATAAACTTGTTTTCTGAGTCATTGCAAAGATGAAGTTAATGACGCTGTAGTATAGTGGCGTACCTACAGAGAAATGAGAAATGCATATTTAATACTGATAACATAATCAGAGAGTATTTGTTAACAATTTAGTTTAGTTTCGTTTACTTATTTATATAGCACCTAACAGGCTTCCTGTCACGGTGTGGGTTTTGTGTCTTGTCCCTTGTTCTTGTCTGTCATGTGATTCCCTGTTTGTCATGTGATCCTGCCATGTGTCTTGTCCCATGTTCAGCTGTTCCCCATTATGTTGATTAGTCTTCCCAGGTGTTTCAGTTTAACCACGCCCCCTTGTTATCTCGTTTAGCTTGTTTGTCCTTGTATTTAAGCCCTGTGTTTCACTTCAGTCCTTGTGAGTTCTTATGTTGTTGTGACGTTGTAATGTTTGCCTGTAGCTGTCTCCTTGTTCCTGTTCTGAGTTTCCTGTTCTGAGTTTTCCCTGGATTACCTTTTGTTTAATTAAATGTGTGCTTGAAATTGGATTCACTCTTCGTCTCTGCTTCAACGTGACACTTCCATTGTAGTTCCAAAGTGTTGTACATTGCAATAAAAAGCAACAGAACAAAAAGACAAAATATAAAAACATCCATGTACTAATGTACTAAAATGCCAAAGTGTAAATGCTGCCATTATATTGTTGATATAATTTATATATTATTTTTTTATTACCTCACTGAATGGAAGAGCTTTGGAATGGGCTACGGCTCTCTTGGAGAATTGTTCACCATTCACTTCTAACTCTGAGCAATGCCTAGCAGAGATGAGGAGGGTATTCATCCAGGAGGAGGAGTGGGGAAATGACCAACGATTACTTCAACTCACTCAAGAAACGCACAGTGTAGCAGAATTGGCTATTGAGTTCCGTACTCTGGCAGCGGAGAGTGACTGGAATGAACAAGCAGCATTTCATCATTTCATTCAGCTAAAAGATGAATTGATCTTCCGAGATCCTGCGCCTAACTTAGATTCTCTCATTGATGTCGCCATCCGAGTGGATAACCAAATTAGGGATATAATAGGAGGTCTGAAAATCAACAAAACCGAGTCACAGCGCAAAGCAACGTCAGTCCAGTTCAACCTGCTTTCTAAACTCTTTGCACAGAGGAACCCATGCAGCTTGGGTAGAATCGCTTATCACAATCTGAACGGCACAGACGTATGCGGGAGCGGCGCTGTCTATACTGTAGAGAACTAGGGCATTTTCGAACTCATTACCCTAAACTTGTGGGAAAAGAGATTTCTCGTCCAGAGAGAGGGGGGCTGAGACGAGAGAAATAATTGATCCCCGATCTTCAGCTGGATTTTCGACGGTGATGCATTTCCCCTGGGGCAATGGTTGGCACAAAGGTTCTGCATTTGTCGACTCGGGCGCTGCTGGCAATTTCATGGACAGTTCTCTGGCTAAGAGCTGGAAGATTCCACTCATAACTCTCCAGGATAAGTTCACGATAACATCCTTAGACAACAGACCTCTGGGGTCCGGCCAGGTAACACATCGTAACATTCCCATTTCATTTGAAATAGACTCTCATCAAGAAGCACTGTCTTTTCTTATTATTGACACACCCGAGTTCCCAGTTATCATTGGTTAACCTTGGCTAGTTTCTCACAATCCTCAGATTGACTGGCCAAGTAGCAGTTTCACCAGATGGGGATGTGCTGTCCAACGGCTGGACTTCTTTAATTTCCAGATTCTTTTTTGGGGCCTAAACGACAACTCTGGATCCAGCATGAGTCAAACACGGCAAGAACCAAGGTACTAGTCATTCCTCAAGTTAAACTTACACCCCCTGCTCTGGATGCTCCTTCTCCTGACCTATCTCGAGTTCCCCAGGTATATGTCGATCTCCAGGATGTGTTTAGTAAGTCCCAGGCTGATACTCTTCCTCCTCATCGACCCTATGATTGTGCCATTGAATTTTTGCCAGGATCTTGCCCTCCAAGAGGTGGACTTTTCTCGTTGTCAGCTCCAGAGAGGTCGGCAATGGATGAGTACATTCAGAAGGCACTAGAGAATGGATTAATTCGGCCTTCCACGTCACCACCAGGGGCTGGCTTCTTTTTCGTGGGTAAGAAGGATGGAGGTCTTCGCCCATGCATTGACTATCGTGGCCTAAACAACATCACAGTAAAGAACCGATATCCACTGCCACTTATGGCCACAGCCTTCAA